TATACTCACTGTAGAACCTAAGGGGTTAATCCTCTGCATTGTGTAAAAAGGCTGTTTGATCCTGTCTTCTCTGATCCTCCCTTTCTTTCACTGTCCCAAATCCATCTGCTGCTCTAGTACAGAACTCTAGGAGTCACTGCACATGCTCAGTTTGGTGTGTATTGCTAGAGAGCTCTTTTATTCTTTGGGAGGGGGCATGTGATCAGCACAGGGCCAAACAGAACTGTCTAGACAGCTCTGGGGTTCTGCATCCTCCAAGAGCAGAATGGAAACTCCTGCTACAAGCTGTTACCAGTGCTCTGCTGGACACTGATAGAGGTCACAAGACTGCTAAATACGTCTGATGAGAAAAGAGATTTAGTAGTTTATATTTACTAAAATAATTGATTTTCCATGTTCTGTGTACTGTAGGAGACCAGATATAGTGAATGCGGGGTCCGGGGGGAGAGCGGATATAATGAATGCCGGGTCCGGGGAGAGCGGATATAGTGAATGCGGGGTCCGAGGAGACCAGATATAGTGAATGCGGGGTCCGGGGAGAGCGGATATAGTGAATGCATGGTCCGGGGAGAGCGGATATAGTGATAGCGGGGTCCAGGGATAGCGGATATAGTGAATGCCGGGTCCGGGGAGAGCGGATATAGTGAATGCGGGGTCTGGGGAGACCGGATATAGTGAATGCAGGGTCCGGGGAGAGCGGATATAGTGAATGCGGGGTCCGGGGAGAGCGGATATAGTGAATGCGGGGTCCGGGGAGACCAGATATAGTGAATGCGGGGTCCGGGGAGAGCGGAGATAGTGAATGCGGGGTCCGGGGAGAGCGAATATAGTGAATGCGGGGTCCGGGGAGAGCGGATATAGTGAATGCAGGGTCCGGGGAGAGCGGATATAGTGAATGCAGGGTCCGGGGAGACCGGATATAGTGAATGCAGGGTCCGGGGAGACCAGATATAGTAAATGCGGGGTCCGGGGAGACCGGATATACTGAATGCAGGGTCCGGGGAGAGCGGATATAGTGAATGCGGGGTCCGGGGAGAGCGTATATAGTGAATGCGGGGTCCGGGGAGAGCGGATATAGTGAATGCAGGGTCCGGGGAGACCAGATATAGTGAATGCAGGGTCCGGGGAGACCAGATATAGTGAATGCGGGGTCCGGGGAGACTGGATATAGTGAATGCAGGGTCCGGGGAGAGCGGATATAGTGAATGCAGGGTCCGGGGAGACCAGATATAGTGAATGCAGGGTCCGGGGAGACCAGATATAGTGAATGCGGGGTCCGGGGAGAGCGGATATAGTGAATGAAGGGTCCGGGGAGACCGGATATAGTGAATGCAGGGTCCGGGGAGACCAGATATAGTGAATGCGGGGTCCGGGGAGACTGGATATAGTGAATGCAGGGTCCGGGGAGAGCGGATATAGTGAATGCAGGGTCCGGGGAGACCAGATATAGTGAATGCAGGGTCCGGGAGACCAGATATAGTGAATGCGGGGTCCGGGGAGACTGGATATAGTGAATGCGGGGTCCGGGGAGACCAGATATAGTGAATGCAGGGTCCGGGGAGAGCGGATATAGTGAATGCGGGGTCCGGGGAGACGGATATAGTGAATGCGGGGTCCGGGGAGACTGGATATAGTGAATGCAGGGTCCGGGGAGACCGGATATAGTGAATGCGGGGTCCGGGGAGAGCGGATATAGTGAATGCGGGGTCCGGGGGAGAGCAGATATAGTGAATGCGGGGTCCGGGGAGAGCGGATATACTGAATGCGGGGTCCGGGGAGAGCGGATATAGTGAATGCAGGGTCCGGGGAGAGCAGATATAGTGAATGCGGGGTCCGGGGAGAGCAGATATAGTGAATGCAGGGTCTGGGGAGAGCGGATATAGTGAATGCAGGGTCCGGGGAGACCGGATATAGTGGGGCATTATTCCTCCCACTGACACCAATGATGGGGCACTATTCCCCCCACTGATACTAATGATGGGGCACTATTCCTCCCACTGATACTAATGATGGGGCACTGTCTATTCCCACTGGTATACTCCCAATAGCCAAGGTTCGTCCCCCCCCCCCCCTAAAGTCTGAAGGACAGTAAACTGACCCTTTGTTTAGACAGTTAGGAGACCCCTGATCTCTCCGGATTACACCTTTGGACTTTTCCAACGATCTCCGAGGACTTATGCTTGCCACGTTTCTATGGTCATTTCTGGATTGTTTCTAACAAGTACCTGCTCTGACTCGACCAGCTTTGCGCCATTATTCCGTTTGCGGTCATTTCATTGCGTTTTCACCACAATTATTTATTTATTTAAGGTACTTATATAACGTCATCAATTTACGCAGCACTTTACATATATATTGTACATTCACATCAGTCCCCACCCCCGAGGAGCGTACAGTCCACAGCCCACAGTACTTTGGTGTAGTTTCAGTGCAACAACAAAAAAAAAAAACATTGGCATTTTTGAATGTTGACCCTCCCTCTGCGCCAGCCTCATTGCCCATCCTGCTTGGGCATGCCATTGCTATACCCCTCCCCCCCCAATAGGAGTCCTGGACAGGCCTGTTTCCTCTCTCTTGTAATGGGCTGGGGGGCTCTCAACTGCTCCGGAGTCTTTCGCCTTTCGCCACCGTGAGCCTCTCTCTAAATTCAAGCGGCGGCGGCCGTTTCCTACCCATTGTCACCTCAGGTAGCTGAAATCATCTCCGTATGTATGAGCAGGGGGGACAAGGACTCATCAAGACTGCTTTGGTATGGTACGTGAATTTGGTAATTTTTTTGGGTGTGTTGTCCACATTCACATCAGTCCCCGCCCCAAGGAGCGTACAATCTAAGGTCCCTAACCCTCAAGGAGCGTACAATCTAAGGTCCCTAACTCACATTCATACATACACATACTAGGACCAATTTAGACAGGATCCAATTCACATACCAGCATGTCCTTGGAGTGTGGGAGGAAACCGGAGTACCCAGAGGAAACCCACGCAGGCACAGGGAGAACATGCAAACTCCAGGCAGGTGGTGCTGTGGTTGGGATTCGAACCAATGACCCGAGTACTGCCAGGGGGAAGTGCTAACCATTTAGCCACTGTGCTGCCCAATCAACTGTGATTGGCCCCTTACCCCCATCTGTAATCAGTCATGATTGGCCCCTTACCCCCCATCTGTAATCAGCCATGATTTGCCCCTTACCCCCATCTGTAATCAGTCATGATTGGCCCCTTACCCCCCATCTGTAATCAGCCGTGATTGGCCCCTTACCCCAATCTGTGATCAGCTGTGATTGGCCCCTTACCCCTACCTGTGATCAAACAATCACACTTGCGCCTCCTTATTCCCCTTCGCCCCGTCCAATCAAAACACAGCACGCGGTAAAACACGTCACGAAAACTTCCGAGCAGCCCTGTTATTTTTTTTTCTTTTTTATTAAATATTCACATAGACCTCACTTTAGAACTAGACAGGAAATTCAACGGTTTTATTTGGAAAAAAACAAAAAAACAAAACAAAAAAAACAAAAGAGACAGAAAACTAACGACAAAAAAGAACTGTTACTGGGTCAGAAATGACGTCACTGTTAAAATGTAAGGAATGGTCCAAACGTTTTTTTTTTTTGTTTTTTTTTTGTTTTTTTTTGTTTTTTTTTAATCATAGCACCACTTGGTTTTTCTTACGTTTTAGTCTACACAGTGAGAAACTACTTCTTAATTTTTTTTTTTTGTCAGTCAGATTTCAGAAATATAAGTCGATTATTTTTTTTTTTAATTTGAATTTTTTTTTTTTTCCCGGGAAAAGGGATGTTCGGTAAAAGGTTTCGGCTACCTTGTTCAATAATAGATATATTTCTATACGTATAATAACATGCATATTGGTTAAAATAACAAAAAATATACACATATACTGCAAATCTCCTTCAGAATGACTAGGAGTTGTCCGTTTAGGAACTCGGCGTACGTTCTGTTGGTACAGTCCCTCTCACTTTCTGGTGCTGCAACAACAAAAAAATTCACTAGCTCCGCTGGCCATAGAGAGTCACTGAATTAAAAAAAAAAGCGCGAGAAAGCGGAAACGCAGCACCAAAAAAAAAAAAATGAACGTTTGGCGCGCTGCCCTCCACCTCAAGGTGGTCTCGACGCTTTCTCCTAAATGCCCGCAAAAAAATTTTCTTTGCAATCTCCAAATGAAAAAAAAAATCTTTTGGATTTTTTTTTTCCCCCACAGTACTTTGGTGTAGTTTCAGTGCAACAACAAAAAAAAACTGGCATTTTTGAATGTTGACCCTCCCTCTGCGTCAGCCTCATTGCCCATCCTGCTTGGGCATTACGCCATTGCTATAAACCCCTCTCCCCCCCCAATAGGAGTCCCAGACAGGCCCGTTTCCCCTCTCTCTCGTAATGGGCCTGGAGGGCTCTCAACTGCTCTGGAGTCTTTCGCCTTTCGCCGCCGCGAGCCTCTCTCTAAATTCAAGCGGCGGCGGCCGTTTCCTACCCGTTGTCACCTCAGGTAGCTGAAATCATCTCCGTATGTATGAGCAGTGGGGGGACAAGGACTCATCAAGACTGCTTTGGTACGGTACGCAAATTTGGTAATTTTTTGGGTGTGTTTGTCCGCGTACAAAAAAATTTTTTATTTTTGTAGCGGAATCGAATACAATTTTTTTTATTTTTTTTTATAACCTTTTGGTTTTTTTTTAGCTTACGGGAAGCTAGGAGGTCAAAATAAGCAAACGATACTATGTACAATATAAAAAAGTGTTTATAAATAGGTTTTTTAAAAAACCACAGATACTATTTACATCTTCAATGAACACAGGAACCTCCCCCACCGTCCTCTCTCATTTATAAGATAGGTGTGGGGAGGTTGAAAATGTTTTGGTTTTTATTCGATACTTTTTATAGGATCCCCTTTAGACTTTGTATTTCAGCGTTTTTCTTTTTATTTTTCTTTTTCTTTTTTCCTCTCTCTCGTTCCTTCCCGGCGTTTGGCGGCGGGCCGGGCATCCTATTCGCGTTTCCTCAGGATGACGTAGATGATGCCGCTGATGACGGCCAACGGAAGGCCACCCACGCCAGGATGTAGGCGAATCCGAAGCTGGCCGGGTCCTTATGCCAATCCGTGTGTGCCGCACGGTGAAGATGGACGCTCCGGCTACTATGCACAGCGCTAAAAAAAAAAAAATACGGAAGCGTTGTTAGGGGAGATATAGTCAATCAAAAAAAAATTTTCAAAAACAGCTAAATGATACATGGAGTAGACATGTGCGGCTCGATTCGTTCAGATCCAAAATTCAAATGAAATTTTCAGTATTCAGAGATTTGAAAGTATCCAAATTTCTGCATTACAATAGTAACAAATTTAAATGAATCAGAAATAACGAAATGAAATTTCATCCAAAATTCAAAATGAATCAAATTCCAATCGGATTCTAAAACAAATTCAAAATATAAACATATTGCTGAGTGTTGCTGATTTCCTTCAAAGACTGTGTGTATTAGCATCTTTCAAAATTCAAATTTCCCAAAAGAATAGAAAAGAAAAAATAGAATAGAAAATAAAAGAGAAGAATAAAATAGAATATAAAATAAAGGAAAAAAAACTGAAAAGAATAGAATAGAATATAGCTGCCTTCCAAAATTCAAATTTCGATAACAACAGAATAGAATAAGGGGGGATATGATCTCCATGTATAATACATAAGGGGGGATATGATCTCCATGTATAATACATAAGGGGGGATATGATCTCCATGTATAATAACATAAGGGGGGGATATGATCTCCATGTATAATACATAAGGGGGGGGGATATGATCTCCATGTATAATACATAAGGGGGGGATAAGATCTCCATGTATAATACATAAGGGGGATATGATCACCATGTATAATACATAAGGGGGGATATGATCTCCATGTATAATACATAAGGGGGATATGATCTCCATGTATAATACATAAGGGGGGATATGATCTCCATGTATAATACATAAGGGGGGGGATATGATCTCCATGTATAATACATAAGGGGGATATGATCTCCATGTATAATACATAAGGGGGGATATGATCTCCATGTATAATACATAAGGGGGGATATGATCTCCATGTATAATACATAAGGGGGGATATGATCTCCATGTATAAATACATAAGGGGGGATATGATCTCCATGTATAATACATAAGGGGGGGGATATGATCTCCATGTATAATACATAAGGGGGGATATGATCTCCATGTATAATACATAAGGGGGATATGATCACCATGTATAATACATAAGGGGGGATATGATCTCCATGTATAATACATAAGGGGATATGATCTCCATGTATAATACATAAGGGGGGATATGATCTCCATGTATAATACATAAGGGGGGGATATGATCTCCATGTATAATACATAAGGGGGATATGATCTCCATGTATAATACATAAGGGGGGATATGATCTCCATGTATAATACATAAGGGGGGATATGATCTCCATGTATAATACATAAGGGGGGATATGATCTCCATGTATAATACATAAGGGGGATATATGATCTCCATGTATAATACATAAGGGGGGATATGATCTCCATGTATAATACATAAGGGGGGGGATATGATCTCCATGTATAATACATAAGGGGGGGATATGATCTCCATGTATAATACATAAGGGGGGATATGATCTCCATGTATAATACATAAGGGGGATATGATCTCCATGTATAATACATAAGGGGGGGGGGATATGATCTCCATGTATAATACATAAGGGGGGGGGATATGATCTCCATGTATAATACATAAGGGGGGGGATATGATCTCCATGTATAATACATAAGGGGGGGATATGATCTCCATGTATAATACATAAGGGGGGATATGATCTCCATGTATAATACATAAGGGGGGATATGATCACCATGTATAATACATAAGGGGGGATATGATCTCCATGTATAATACATAAGGGGGGGATATGATCTCCATGTATAATACATAAGGGGGGGATATGATCTCCATGTATAATACATAAGGGGGGATATGATCTCCATGTATAATACATAAGGGGGGATATGATCTCCATGTATAATACATAAGGGGGATATGATCTCCATGTATAATACATAAGGGGGATATGATCTCCATGTATAATACATAAGGGGGGATATGATCTCCATGGATAATACATAAGGGGGGGTATGATCTCCATGTATAAATACATAAGGGGGGATATGATCTCCATGTATAATACATAAGGGGGGATATGATCTCCATGTATAATACATTCGGGGGGGGGGGGGGGGGTATAATGGTATTTTTAACATTTCACTTGCACTGGATGATGTCCATAGCAGGATCACCGGGATTGTTTTTAATGAAAGCTGCACATTTAAAGCAGAACTCCAGCCAATTAAACAACAGGATATAAATAAATAGCCCCTGCTGCAATATTCTGCATCAGTACTTTTTTTCTGCCATTAGATGGCCAGCATCATGTTGCACAAATTCCTCTGAGTCCAGGTCCATCCTGAACCCACCTCCAGACTGTGACTGAACAGTGAAAGGAGAAGCAGCACACAGTAAAGAGCGCATCTCTCTGTCACTCTGCTCTCTCCTCCTATCAGCATGTCCCTTGTCAATGCATGAACTGATTGTAATGGACATTCTTCCCACTGATCATCAATGTAAGGGACACATTCTTCCCACTGACCACCAATGTAAGGAGCATTCTTCCCACTGACCACCCAATGTAAGGGACATTCTTCCCACTTACCCCCCAATGTAAATAACATTATTCCCCACTGACCCCCAATGTAAGGGACATTCTTCCCACTGATCACCAATGTAAGGGACATTCTTCCTACTGGTCACCAATGTAATGGGACATTCTTCCCCCTGACCCCCAATGTAAGGGACATTTTCTTCCCACTGATCACCAATGTAAGGGACATTCTTTTTCCCCCCTGACCCCCAATGTAAGGGACATTCTTCCCACTGATCACCAATGTAAGGGACATTCTTCCTACTGGTCACCAATGTAAGAGGGGCATTCTTCCCACTGATCACCAATGTAAGGGGACATTCTTCCTACTGGTCACCAATGTAAGGGACATTCTTCCCCCTGACCCCCAATGTAAGGGACATTCTTCCCCACTGATCACCAATGTTAGGGACATTCTTCCTCCTGACCCCCAATGTAAGGGGACATTCTTCCCACTGATCACCAATGTAAGGAGCATTCTTCCCACTGATCCCCAATGTAAGGGACATTCCTCCCACTGACCACCAATGTAAGGGGCATTCTTCCCACTGATCACCAATGTAAGGGACATTCTTCCCACTGACCACCAATGTAAGGGACATTCTTCCCACTGACCCCCAATGTAAGGGAACATTCTTCCCACTGACCCCAATGTAAGGGGCATTCTTCCCACTGACCACCAATGTAAGGGACATTCTCTTCCCACTGACCACCAATGTAAGGGACATTCTTCTCCCACTGACCACCAATGTAAGGGACATTCTTCCCACTGACCACCAATGTAAGGACATTCTTCCCACTGACCACCAATGTAAGGGAGCATTCTTCCCACTGATCACGAATGTAAGGAGAATAATTTCCCACCGACCATCAATGTAAGCTGATTTTCTTCCAAAGACCCCCCAGGTTTCCTCTGGGTTGAAAATCCTGAGAAGGTCCAGTCTATACATTTCCGAATTCTGAACTGTGTAGGATTTGAATTTTGGAAGACCTTTAAGTTTCTCATCTCACTCACACTGTGTTTTCCATGACCACCATTGTCCCATTGAATGGATTTTGCCCCTGTAGTCATTCCTCTATAATTGTGTACAGAACGGTCCACCAGACACCTACAGTGATCTCCGCTTACACTGTTCACTTTGTTCGAGAAAATGCAGCGGTGGGCATTCTCCAAACGCCAATTGTCTCCACCGGGCCAAACCCTCTACTCGCAGTGCAACGACATTTAAAGACACAAGGAAGACCATGTGAGCGCCTTTTTGTCAGAAACAACAATATCTGAAGGCCGTGCCAAGACTGCAGCTGTGGAGACACGACCAACAATTCTAAGTGTGGCATTTCAATCAGCGTGTCTTCTATCCAGGAGCCTGAACACTCTGAGTCTGGCTTCACAATGGGTTCTTGTTTGGTCCCACCAGTCTCAGCTTGTCAGGTAAGATTTAAAAATATACAAAGAACCTAAATCTATCTTTCACTATGTTCGGCATCAGAGGTTTCTTCAGCAAATCAAGCATTGTGAACCTGTTGCAAAGTTTCTGATGTGGAGATGCAGCTATTAATAGCACTTCCTGTTGCAAACCGACAACGTTGACAGGCGGCTCAGTGGCCAACCACCGTGGACTTTCCACTTTCCTACACTCCTAGAGAGACCTTCACTATGGACTTTCCACACTTCTACATCTGGAGAGACCTCCACCATGGACTTTCCACACTTCTACATCTGGAGAGACCTCCACCATGGACTTTCCACACTCTTACTTCTTCTGGAGAGACCTCCACTATGGACTTTCCACACTCTTACTCCTTCTGGAGAGACCTCCACTATTGACTTTCCACACTCCAACTCTGTCTGGAGAGACCCCACCATGGACTTTCCACATTCTTATTCCTTCTGGAGAGACCTCCACTATGGACTTTCCACACTCCTAATACATCTGGAGAGACCTCCACCATGGACTTTCTTCACTTACTCCTTTTGGAGAGACCTCCACCATGGACTTTCCACACTCCTACTCCCTCTGGAGAGATACCCACCATGGACTTCCAAACCCCTACCACTCCTGGAGATAGGAGCACATGGCAGGCCGACAACGCGCTGCCACTATGGACTTTCCACACTCTTACTACATCTGGAGTGACCTCCACCATGGACTTTCTACACTCTCACTCTTCTGGAGAGACCTCCATTATTGACTTTCCACACTCTTACTCTCTCTGCAGAGACCCCCACCATGGAGTTTCCACACTCTTACTCCTTCTGGAGAGACCTCTCCACTATTGACTTTCCACACTCCAACTCTGTCTGGAGAGACCCCACCATGGACTTTCCACATTCTTATTCCTTCTGGAGAGACCTCCACTATGGACTTTCCACACTCCTAATACATCTGGAGAGACCTCCACCATGGACTTTCTACACTTACTCCTTTTGGAGAGACCTCCACCATGGACTTTCCACACTCCTACTTCCTCTGGAGAGATACCCATCATGGACTTCCAAACCCCTACCACTCCTGGAGATAGGAGCACATGGCAGGCCGACAACGCTGCCACTATGGACTTTCCACACTCTTACTACATCTGGAGTGACCTCCACCATGGACTTTCTACACTCTCACTCCTTCTGGAGAGACCTCCATTATTGACTTTCCACACTCTTACTCTCTCTGCAGAGACCCCCACCATGGAGTTTCCACACTCTTACTCCTTCTGGAGAGACCTCCACTATGGACTTTCCACACTCCTACTACATCTGGAGAGACCTCCACCATGGATTTTCCACACTCTTATTCCTTTCTGGAGAGACCTCAACCATGGACTTTCCACACTCCTACTGCCTCTGGAGAGACCTTCCACCATGGACTTCCAAACTCCTACCACTCCTGGAGATAGGAGCACATGGCAGGCCGACAACACTGCCGCTTATTTCGAGGCAGTGACTTAGCGTTGTCAGTCTATGTTTCGTAAACCTGCTGCAAAGTTTCTTACTTGGGGATCCAGCCAGTAACTGTGTTTCCTTTTTCAGACTGACAACACTAATAAGCACCCCAAAAGGCCAACCAATGAAGTGCCTATGGCAGGCCGACAACACGGCTGGTAAATACAGGCTCAGTGTTGCCAACCTGAAACATAAAATGAGGTTACTGGTAGGATCTCCAGGTAAGAAATTTTGCAACAGATTCACAAAACCACTGACATCACTGCCTCATAATTAGCAGCGACATTGCCAGCCTGCTGTGTGCACTTTTTCAGTTGGTCGTTGGCCTGCCTAGCAGCGTTATGGGCCTTAAACAGGAACTGCCAATATTGGCGGGATCTCCAGGTCAGGAACTTTGCAACAGGATCAAAATATATGCATTTATAAAACACAACTAGTGTAATCAGTATCTGTTTCCTGTAATCAGTAACATGAGCGGACAGCCCCCCTCCCCCCTGCTCCATCCGACAACGCAGCAAGCATAGAGAATGCTGCATTGATAGCTGCCACTTATCTCTAAACATTTGCATCAGATATCCATAGGCAAGAGGAAGGCAGTGCGATGAGGATGGGAGGATAACCCCCCTCCCCCACTCTGCATTCCTCTTGCCGTTGCTTGTCTGGAGAGTACATGTACTTGGTACCAGAGATATCAACACAGCCATCTCCTTGATAGCTGCATTGTTGGGTGGCCATGGAAGCCAAGGAGAAGCACCAGCTATCCGCACAGGCATATTTTGCTAGCTGCTTTGTCAGGTGGCCATGGAAGCCAGGGAGAAGCGCCAACTATCAACACAGCCATCTTCTTGCTAGCTGCGTTGTTGGGTGGCCGTGGAAACTGAGCAGTAGCACCAACTATTAACACAGCCATCTCCTTGGTAGAAGTGTTGTCTATTGGCCATGGAAGCCAAGGAGAAGCACCAACTATCAACACAGCCATCTCTTTGTTAGCTGCGTTGTCTGGTGGCCATGGAAGCCAAGGAGAAGCACCAACTATCAACACAGGCATCTCTTTGCTAGCTGCATTGTCTGGTGGCCATGGAAGCCAAGGAGAACCACCAACTATAAACACAACCATCTCTTTGCTAGCTGCCTTGTCTGGTGGCCATGGAAGCCAAGGAGAAGCACCAACTATCAACACAGCCATCTCTTTGCTAGCTTCCTTGTCTGGTGGCCATGGAAGCCAAGGAGAAGCACCAACTATCGGCACAGGCATCTCCTTGCTAGCTGAGTTGTTGAGTGGCCACAGAAGCCAAGCAGTAGCACCAACTATTAACACAGCCATCTCCTTGCTAGCTGCATTGTTGGGTGGCCATGGAAGCTGAGCAGTAGCACCAACTATTAACACAGCCATCTCCTTGGTAGAAGTGTTGTCTGGTGGCCATGCAAGCCAAGGAGACAGATCAACTATTAACACAGGCATCTCTCTGCTAGCTGTGTTGTCAGGCGGGCCATGGAAGCCAGGGAGAAGCACCTGCTATCAACACAGCCATCTCCTTGCTAGCTGCATTGTCAGATGGCCATGGAAGTCAAGGAGAAGCACCAACTATCAACACAGCCATCTCTTTGCTAGCTGTGTTGTCGGGTGGCCATGGAAGTCAAGGAGAAGCACCAACTATCAACACAGCCATCTCTTTGCTAGCTGCCTTGTCTGGTGGCCATGGAAGCCAAGGAGAAGCACCAACTATCAGCACAGGCATCTCTTTGCTAGCTGTGTTGTCGGGTGGCCTTGGGAGGGAGTGGAGTCTCGTGTCTGATCACTTCTGATCAGGGGTCTTGTGTCTGATCGCGCTAGCTTTCCGCACCACGTAGGAAGACAGGATGAAGTACTGAATATACTTTGTCCCCTGGGTAACATAACACATTCATAAAAGAGGAAAGGAGTCTTCTTTAATTGGGAGCGGGTGTGCTGCTTGCTCATGTGCTGACCCTGAATATGCTGACAGGAGAGGGTTGAGCTGATTAATGTGCCGCTGCCGCTCCTTTACTATCCTATTATAGGTTGGATGGGGGGTGGAGAGGTGACCTATCTTTATTACCCAAATGCAGTAGAGAAAAGCCAGGTCACCTCCCCAGCAGGCTATGTACATCTAATAACTTGATAAACAGAGATATAAATCTGTTAGCATGTTAATCAGCTACTACATATACAAGTCAATGGTGTGTGTAGCTGTTTGCCTGGATTTCAGCTTTAAAGGTCGTTCCCGGAGAACAGTTGCAGTAACAAAAAAGGATACAATGAAAATACCGATTGAACACGTACTAAATAAATATAACCAACGTCTTCCCTGTGAGGTTTTTACAATGGAGAGGCCATGTAACATTGCACCGTGGTTGGAGCTGTCAGAATACAAATGACAATCCAGGAGCGGTCGTTCCGGGGGAACAGTTGTCCAATTAATAACTCAGTATGAGTCAGCGGCCAGCTATGCCGCAGCACACAGAACTGGTAATCCTCGGCTCAGCCCGCCGGGCCGCTCTGAATGGGACACTGAATGAGCACTAATCTCCACCCCTACCGGGGCAGACTCTGCAAATTTTAGCTCAGCTGCTTCATTTTGGCCAGGCGCTGGGGAGGCCCCATGCTGTGGTTCAGAAAATGTTCTCGTTTAGACCTGGTGCCGATAGAACACATATGGGGATGTGTTTGTAGGAAAAAAAAAAATCTGCATAGAAATTTGCTTAGTAAATGTGAATGTACATTCATTCTGTGTGAATCAGGAAAAAAAAAAAACCCGAATGTTATTAGGCTATAGCCTGTGCTGATCGAATGTTTTTTTTTCCGCTGAAATAAAATATAAAATATTGCTTTCAGCTCCAGATGCTGCTAAGTATGATAGACATTTTCTATGAGACGTAGAGCCATTTAGTGGCCAAATGTGGTATTTTCTATTTTAAATCAATTAAAACATTCGTCCTACACAGGAAATAACCTAATAACATTTTTTTAATGAATGTACATGCGCTTTCCCTGGACAAATTACTATGCAATTTTGATTTACTAATTACAGTACATTTGCTCTTTTCGGCCTCTCTCAATGAACACACATCAGCTGTGCGCCCAGGTTATAAGCCATTTTTTGGGGAACTTTGATCATTTTTTAAAAAGTTTCAGACAAAGTGGGGGTGGAGCTAGAACCTCTGCCAGGTTTTTCCTGCAGTAAATGTCCCCACATTGGAGGTCCACCCTTGCTTCCTGTGCAATCACCGGGGTCAGAAGTGAGCGGAACCTCTACTACAGGAATACAGAGAGCAACAAGGACCTGGAAGAGGGTCTAACCCTTCTCCATTCAAAACTCCAAAACTAAGACGGAGTTGGGGTTCTACATAAAAATATCATGTTGTGTGTTTTGGGCACCTTACCTGCAAGAAGCTGGAAGATTCCAGTTAGGTAGAAGCGTCCACCCTTTGTAAGCGTGAACAGCTGGCAGAAGAAGAGAAACAAGGACAGGACGCTGAAGATGATCGACAATATCATCATAGCCTGGACGGACTGGAGCCATTCTGTCAATGAAATAAAATTTACAAAAAAAAAATCAGAACCATCATCGTTAATTATTCATAATCTCTGAAGAGGAAGCACTTAACTGGCCTGTGCAAAGTTTTATAGATGCCGCTGGGTGTGAGAGGCTGGAGCATAGTGTACATCGGATGCATCACTCTGAATGTTCATTGATTCAGTGCAATAAGACATTCGGATGGGGCTTGGCTGGGACAGAGAACATTAATCTAAATCTAAGATCTGGGAACTTAGCCCATTCATTAACTGAAGACCAGTGACATCACCGAGACCCTTCATATTCATGAGAACGCAGCCTATCCAATCACTAGAGACCAGTGACATCACCGAGACCCTTCATATTCATGAGAACGCAGCCTATCCAATCACTAGAGACCAGTGACATCACCGAGACCCTTCATATTCATGAGAACACAGCCTATCCATCACTAGAGACCAGTGACATCACCGAGACCCTTCATATTCATGAGAACACAGCCTATAAAATTCACTAGAGACCAGTGACATCACCAAGTACCTTCATATTCATGAGAACGCAGCCTATCCATCACTAGAGACCAGTGACATCACCGAGACCCTTCATATTCATGAGAACACAGCCTATAAAATTCACTAGAGACCAGTGACATCACCAAGTACCTTCATATTCTTGAGAACACAGCCTATCTGATCACTAGAGACCAGTGACATCACCGAGACCTTTCATAGCTATGAGAACGCAGCCTATCCAACAGCTATAGACCAGTGACATCACCGAGACCCTTCATATTCATGAGAACACAGCCTATCCATTCGATAGAGACTAGTGACATCACCAAGACCCTTCATATTCATGAGAACACAGCCTGTCCATTCACTAGAGACCAGTGACATCACCGAGACCCTTCATATTCATGAGAACGCAGCCTATCCATTCACTAGAGACCAGTGACATCACCGAGACCCTTCATATTCATGAGAACGCAGCCTATCCATTCACTAGAGACCAGTGACATCACCGAGACCCTTCATATTCATGAGAACGCAGCCTACCCAATCACTAGAGACCAGTGACATCACCGAGACCCTTCATATTCATGAGAACGCAGCCTATCCATTCACTAGAGACCAGTGACATCAACAAGACGCTTAATATTTATGAATTAGTCAACCTAAACCATCAGTTGGTGGTAAGCTGAGCTCCTGGGTCTGAACACCTGCTCTCTCCTTCTTGAATTCTTCCCTTTATTTTAAGCTATGAGGAATATATCAGGAGAAGTGGGAACACCAGAAGGGCAGGAACTGTAAAGGTTTACAGTTCCTGCCCTTCTGGTGCCAGAACTCCATGAAGCACTTAAATCAGACTTGCAACATTTATTTGTACATAAGACATTGCAACCTACAGTTGGTTCACAAGTGCATTGCGGGGAGTTGAGTCGCGGTAATGAATGGCACCACTCCTCACTGTTTTTCACACATTTCTGTGCTTTCATTACCTTGTGGTGCTGGAATGCATTTATATGAAGTAGCCTGAAATATCCAAGATGTGTGAGAACAGAGCTGGCCTCTATGGCAGTGTGATCTGGCGGATAGATTGTCCAAGAGATGTAAGAGGCCCATGGGTGGTGTAGCCCACAAGCCTCTGCCTCTAACTAAAATATCAGCTTAGGTGCACAAAACCTTGAAAAAAAACCTTTAAACCTAAAAAATAGATTGTCTTCTCGGCACTCTGTATGTTCTCCATGTACAAGTAATAATTCTTTCTCAATGACCCTTCAATAATTCAATCTTACAATCTGCTATCTTGATACAATATCAGCATTCCATGTTTTATGAATAACATAACCTTCTCATCTCCATTCATGGAGATTTTTTTAATACAGCCAAGGCCAATGTGCGAAGCAGGCCTCGCTGATCTGTCCCGGATACGCTGACATCCGGTTGGCTGCTAGGGGGTTACAGAACAGTCACTTTTGGATCACCCTGAGTAAACCCCAAAGTGTCTGCACAGCTGTAGAATTCCACGTCTGTGATCAGTCCTAGAAGAGTTTCTGAAGAGCAACCAAATGACTCAGAAGTAATTTTCCACCAAATGAAACAATCTGGGACCAAGTGAGACTTGTATTTAGGGACCTGTAGCTCCATCAGGTGCAGTTATACACAATGGCCAAAAGAGGGAGCCCAAAGCTAAGGCTTCTCCCCAACCTTACGCTCCATGGGGCTCCTCTGAAACGGGAGAAGAAGGGCCCATAGGAGCCCGACTATAACTCTATTTTTATCCGGGTTATATCCAAACTATTTGAGAACCCAAAAGGGCACGAGGCAGAAATAACCTCCAAAGCGATTCACATATTACAGTTTTGGCGCCCAACTTTCGTCTTCATTGAGGGGCAACAGCCAAACACATTCAGTTCAGATTTTGTGACGCATGTGCTACTATTATTGCTGTCAATGTGTTCCCTTTTAAATCCAGTTTTTTCTGCCTTGCAGGGGTCTCCAAACTATGGCCCTCCAGCTGTTGAAGTACTGTAAGTCCCATCATGCCTCTGCCTCTTGGAGCCTTGCCTGTGGCTATCAGAGTCTTGCAAGGCCTCATTGGACTTGCAGTTCCTCATCACCTGTAGGGTCATAGTTTGGAGACCCCTGCCTTAAAGGGTCAACGGTTGGGCAAACCCCGGCTCTCCAGCTGTTGCAGAACTACAAGTCCCATGAGGCATTGCAAGATTCTGTCAGCCACAAGCATGACTCCAAGAGAAAGAGGCATAATGGGACTTGTAGATCCACAACAGCTGGAGGGCCATAGATTGTCCACCCTGACTGTTTCCTAGATAAATCAGCCCAAGGTAGCAGAAGTTGACTGTCTCTGTTTACTTCTTATACACAGCACATAGATCCCCAACTGTCACTGCTGTAGTCCAGTGTTCTCCAAACTGTGGCCCAGAGGCCGGATGTGGCCCTTTGCTTGCTTTTACCTGGACCTTGGGGCACTATTTCATTCACCAACACCAATGATGGGGCACAGTTCCTCCCAATGACACCAACAATGTGGAACATTTCCTGCCATTGACACCAACAATGGAGCCCATGATACCAGTGATGGGGTACAATGCCTCCCAATGGCACCAGTGATAGGGTACAATTCTTCCCAATGACGCCAATGATGGAACACAATTCCTTACAATTACACCAGTGATGAGACACAATTCCTCCCAATGACAACAATGATGGGGCGCAGTTCCTCCCAATGACACCAATGATGGAGCACAGTTCCTCCAAATGACACCAACAATTCCTGCCAACGATACCAACAATGAGGTCCATAATACCAGTGATAGGGTACAATTCTTCCCAATGACACCAATGATGGGACACAAATCCTCCCAATGATGCCAATGATGGGACACAAATCCTCCCAATGAAAACAATGATGGGGCATGGTTCCTCCCAATGACACCAATGATCGGGCACAATTCCTCCCAATGACACCAGTGATGGGGCATTATTCCTTCCAATGACACCAATGATGAGGCATAATTCCTTCCAAAGGCACAAGTGATATGGCACTATTCCTCCCAATGACAAAAATAATGGGGCACAATTCCTCCCAATCACACCACAATGATGGGACACGATTCCTACCAATCACACCAATAATGGGGCACTATTCCTCTCAATGACAACAACAATGGGACACAATTCCTCCCAATGACACCAATGATGGGGCATTATCCCTACCAATGATGGGGCACAATTCCTCCCAATGACACCAATGATGGGTACTATTTCTCCCAATGACAATGATGGGGCACAATTTCTCCCAATGATGGGACGCTATTCCTACCAATGGCAACAATGATGGGGCACTATTCCTCCCACTGATACCAATGATGGGACACTATTCCTACCAATGGCAACAATGATAGAGCACTATTTCTACCAATGACACCAACAATAGGGACAGAATTCCTCATAATCATACCAATGATGGGGCACTATTCATATCAATGACACCAAAGATGGGGCATTGTTTACTCCAACTGATGCCGGGACATTTTCTACTCCTGATGTCTACACTGGGTCCCCCCTAAATTCTGAAGGACAGTAAACTGGCCCTTTCTTTAAAAAGTTTTGAGACCCCTGGTATAGATGTAAATGAAAACTCAGCTAAGATAGCATATTTAAGCCTTTTTATGTCCAAATAAATGGTAGAGATGCAGCTTCTAGAGTCTGAGACTGGATCACGATGAAGGCATGACTAATATCAGTGCTTAGTTCCTCCGTCTCATTTTCCAGGAGTACATTGGCACCTCCTTTGTTTTTGTTTTTTCTCTCCTCTTCTCCCTATAACATAGGTGGCCTTTTTATGAGCTTCTAGAGTTTATTTTTTGTAATATTTGGAAAGGATCCCAAACCATTGAAAGAAAAAAAATCTCCAAGCTGCCTTAGATATGACCTTGCAGACCTCAACCCAGAAGGACTTACCGCTGCTGGAGGCGTTGAGGCAGTTCCATGTATTGGCGGCGCCCTCGGTGCAGTTCTGCCACAAGTCCGCCGAATAGTTGTTGCCGACCAGCCAGCTCTGGAGAAAGAATAAAATCCAAAGCGTTAGTATGAAGATGGAGATGTAAGGCCCTTTAATGTTGTTGATCGCTTCTTGATTGACTCGAACCATGTCAACTGGTTTTACTGCCAAAAAAAATCCATCAAATAGATCTCTTGAGGACGCCTTACTTACCAAACGATTTTGCACACGGGCATTTTTTCTAAAGGCCAGGAGGTGGCGCTATAAATCTGCAGTCGTCACACCCGTGGCCTACACCCACGTCCAACGCCCATCAGGCAAGGAAAACTCTTTCCAAGCCGTTATAATGACTTCAGGTTACCCGTTATCTGGAGCGGACTAACCACTCGAGCACTCGGGCACTGCCCGAGGGCCCGGGGTCAGTAGGGGGCCCCATGAGATGCCCCTGGCACCTTTTTCATAGGCTTTTTTGAGTTTGGCCAAGGACACAGGGGCCCCATGATAACCCTATTGCCCGGGGGCCCCAGGAGTTGTCAGTCCGCCCCTGCGGGCCGTTATAATGACTTCAGGTTACCCGTTATGATGACTTCAGGTTACCCGGCACATCTTTCTTTTTTTTTTTCTGTCCTGCCAATCCCTCCTTTTGTTTCCTCTGTGATCTACAGCAATGAAGTCCGAGACTCCCATTTTCTAACGCCTCAATATCCTCCCTTAGAAATTTACCCACTGACCTTGGTGTGAGCCCCAAGGCTGCCTAAACAACCCACCCCTTCACACCTATGCAGGTTGCGTTTGAGCCGTTTCTGAATTGTGTTTTTGCAACTGCATTTTTGCCGCCTTTTTGATGCGTTTTGTGGGGTTTTTGTCATTTTTTAATTTTTCTTGTTGCTGGGCAGATTTAAAAAGCAAAACGCATCAAAACCGCTGCAAAAACACATCATAACCGCAGCAAAGACGAACTACATGCTTTTCTGCAGCATTCCATTAAAGTCTATTAATCCAAAAATGCAACTTTTTGCGTTAAAAAAAGTCCCTGAACCTTTCCAAAAAACGCACCGGGGTGAAAACGCGGAGATGTGAACCTGTCCCGTAGGAACTCATGTGAAACGGTTGTGAGCCCCAAGGCTGCCTAAACAACCCACCCCTTCAAACCTATGCAGGTTGCGTTTGAGAGGTTTCTGCATTGCGTTCTGCTTGCATTTTGCGGCTGCATTTTTGCCGCCTTTTTGACGCATTTTGTGGGTTTTTTAAATTTTTTACATTTTTCTTTTTGCTGGGCAGATTTAAAAAGCAAAACACATCAAAACTGCTGCAAAAACGCATCAAAAACACAGCAAAGACGCACTCCATGCTTTTCTGCAGAGTTTCCATTGAAGTCTATTGAAAAACGCAACTTTTTGCGTTCAAAAAAAGTCCCTGACCCTTTCCAAAAAAACGCACCGGGTGAAATCGCTGAGATGTGAACCTGTCCCACAGGAAATCATGTTTAATGGACTGTACTGCATTTCTGCAAAACGCTGCGGAAAACGCTTAGGTGTGAACCCGGGGTAATCGCATGCAATATGGGGTTGCTTCAGCTGCAGAAAGGAAGCCATTGCCCTTTGCCATTTTCAGAATGCCTTAAAGGGCATATCGACAAAACGTATTTTTCTTTAGTTTTGGATAGAGCAGGGAAGGCTCAGAACCCCCCTTCAGTTCTAAGTGCCGCCCTGGGGCTCTATGTGAAAGAATTCCCTCCCAATTCTACTTCCTGTCCCGGTGACAACGGTTTTATCAGACAGGAAGTGAGAATCTGCAGCGAGGGTACAGAAAACTGTCGGAGGTTCTAGCCTTCCTCTACTTTACTAAAAAGGGGTTTTGTTTTTTTTCAATCTCTGTCTGAGGCTGTTGGAGAGTTCCTCTCAACGTTGTCAGCAGGACAGGAAGTAAGGGGAAATCTCTCTAGGGGCCGCGTCATATGAGTGATTTTGTAGCAGAGATTAATTGCTAATCCCTGGGATTGCATCTGGTTTGTAATTAGGGATTTCATTACTACAGAAGCAATTTGCCGCTGCTACGGTATTAAACCCCAAACCAAAAATGTCATATATTGCAGATTACTAATTATCAGATGCGGTGGCTGCATTCGTTTTCTTTTTTTTTCTTTCCTTCTGCTTTCACCTGGTGATCTGGCCAGTAGCACACCTCCTGTATTAGAGTGCCCCCACTCTGGATGAAGGAGCATAGGGGGCACCTTTGAACAGCAGCATTGTCAGTCTGGGGGAGGGGAGATTTAGCAGATTTAAATACACTAGCAAATCATTATTATTACAGGTACTTATATAGCACCATCAATTTTTGCAGCGCTTTACACATACACACATTTTATATATATATTTACATTCACATCAGTCCCCCCCCCCGAGGAGCATACAATCTAAGGTCCCCAACCCTCAAGGGGTGTACAATCTAAGGTCCGTAACTCACATTCATACATACACATACTAGGGACAATTTATACAGGAGCCAATTTACATACCAGCATGTCTGTGGAGCAGGGGCAGACTGACCAATTGGAAACTCGGGCACTGCCCGAGGGCCTGGGGTTAGTAGGGGGCCCCATGAGATACCCCTGGTACCTTTTTCATAGGCTTTTTCGAGTTTGGGCAAGGACACAGGGGCCCCATGATCCCCTATTGTCCGGGGGCCCCATGAGTTGTCAGTCCGCCCCTGCTGTGGAGTGTGGGAGGAAACTGGAGTACCCGGAGGAAACCCACGCAGGCACAGGGAGTACAAGCAAACTCCAGGCAGGTGGTGCTGTGGTTGAACTCTAGCTCACACTTTATCAGCAGTTACAGCAACATTTTGTTCATTTTAGGATAAAGGTTTTACCCAAATAAATAAAACTGATCATTGTGAGCACCCCTGTCAGTGGTAAATGGTTTGTCTCCTCCCTGTAACTGACACATCTGCAGGAGAGCTTGTCATTTTGAAAAGCAAAAGACTCAATGGCTGGATCACCAGGTGAAAATAGAAGAAAGAAAGGCTAAAAAAAAAAGAAAACGAATGCAGCCGTCACATCTAAGACTTGGTAAGCTTCAGTATAATAAATGTTTGCTTTTGGGTTAACCCTGCCAGCCAGAATTTCCATTTCAGCTGGTGTGTTGGTAATGAAGATGATACAGGGTTAAACCAGGACTAAGTAGTCGGAAGGAGGGACCTTTTATTTTTACTTTGGGTTCTGGTGGCCTTATCACAGAAGAAATTTAATTCTATGGTGGCCACCTAAATCAAAAACAATTTTTTTTTTTTTTTTATAAATTTTTATTTTTTTTTTTTTTTTTTTTTTTTTTTTTTTTTTTTTTTATTTTTAAATTTAATTTTTTTCTTTTTTTTTTTTTTTTTTTTTTATTTTTTTTTTTTTTTTTATAAATTTTTTTTTTTTTTTTTTTTTTTTTTTTTTTTTTTTTTTTTTTTTTTTTTTTTTTTTTTTTTTTTTTTTTTTTTTTTTTTTTTTTTTTTTTTTTTTTTTTTTATATTTTTTTTTTTTTTTTTTTTTTTTTTTTTTTTTTTTTTTTTTTTTTTTTTTAATTTTTTTTTTTTTTTTTTTTTTTTTTATTTTTTTTTTTTTTTTTTTTTTTTTTTTTTTTTTTTTTTTTAAATTTTTTTTTTTTTTTTTTTTTTTTTTTTTTTTTTTTTTTTTTTAAATATTTTTTTTTTTTTTTTTTTTTTTTTTTTTTTTTTTTTTTTTTTTTTTTTTTTTTTTTTTTTTTTTTTTTTTTTTTTTTTTTTTTTTTTTTTTTTTTTTTTTTTTTTTCCACAAGCCTGTTATTGATCCTATAGTATGGAAGTGACTGAGTTTGTAGCAAATAGGTGATACCTGGCACAAACAATGGCTCCATGGTGGCGAATGCAGAGGTCCTGCGTTTGGATGCACAGGTGCCGTTGCAAGAAAGCATTGGCATTTCCAAGAGCGCGGCCACGTATGGCCCATGAGCGTACCATTCCCTCGTATGGCAGGCTGTATATGGCACATGCGGCTCCGCGGGAGCAGAAACGCACCGGTAAAGCACGTTAAGGCATACCAAACGCCTTTTCATGTGCGTGAACCCTTAACTATCAAGTCTAAAGGGTTCATTTTTTAAAGGCAAATAGACCGGGCACTTTGCAAGGGCGGTTACTCCAAGGCTTAGTAAATGAGGGGGAGCTCTGCTGACTTCCATCATCCAATCATGTGCAAGAAAAAAATGCTGTTTTTTTTTTTTTTTTTTTGTGGTTTCATTTTCCTTTCATGGTATTGGGTATTCTTTGTAAAGAGACGTTTGACCTCGTTTACTCTCTGGAGCAACTGCACTCCAAAGTGCACAGTATATTTGCCTTTAGTAAATTCAGCCCTGACTAAAGACAACCGTGCTTCATCACAAGAAGTGCATGTTGTGTTATGGAGCGATCACCAGGAACAAGTGACACCAAGCAGCTCCGTCTGACACCCAGCAAACCTGCAGCTGGAACTGCAGCTTCTCCATGGGCTTAGCGAAGAGGCCGTGTGGCCTCAGCACTGGATCTCACTGCATTGCAGATGGGTGCTGATAACACCAGGAAGGGACTTTTTTAACAATAAGGGTCACTGCGCCAAATGTACACTTTAAGGTATAACTAAAGGCAAAACTTTATTTTTTTGTTTTGAACGGAGTGGAGAGGGAACGGAACCCCTGCCGGGTCTTTATGCCATCTGTGTCCCCATTAGGGAGATTTGCCTCTCTATTTGCTCTGGTGACTGTTATCAGAAAATCCCAAATTTTGGGTTGTCACCAGAACAGGAATAGAGGGGAAATCTTCCAATGGGGACGCTAGTTCTGGTGACAACCAGGGATCCGCTCACTTCCTGATGCAGCTATGGGACAGGATGTGAAGGGAAAACTCCCCCCCAACAAAAAAAAACTGACAGGGGTGCTAACTCCGCCAAAATGTAAAAAGTTTGGGCTTTAAGTAGCTGATTTCACTTAAAGCGAACTTCACCCAAAAGCAGAAGTTCCTCTTCTCCACCTCCTCCCCCCTCCTTGACCATTTTTGGAATT